TCCTCAAGGCGTGCAAGATTTACAACTTGGTCACAAATGAGGAGGAGATGATTGTTTTTTGGATTCAAAGAAGGATAGTTGTTCATCGAGCACTTCCTGGAGATCAACGTCATGCTTGGAGAGGTCCAGATGAGCCTAGGCCACCGGATGTGGACCCAAGGGGCAGAGCACCTCGTCTAGCAGCAATTGCAGTTCAGGAACCGATGGAATGGTTACACTTTGTAGAAGTGGATGTGGATCGTGAAGAATGTGAAGGTGACGCTCGAATCATGAAGGCCACCCAGGACACACTGTACACCCCAAATATTGAAGAGCTTCTCAACAAGGTGACTCCAGAAAACCCTTTGAAGGTGACTCATACGGTGGATCCTCGAGAAGTACTACCAGTTGTGGAGCAGTGGGTCCCAGCCATGAAGGCGGAGTTGGATGCGTTGGAAGGAATGCCAGCAATCAAGAGATACTGCGGCCTGGAGGCGGATGCTCTGAGAAGAGATCAAAACGTAGTCATTGTCCCGAGCAAGCTCGTCTTCACCGTCAAGCCTGGGGTGGAGCCGGGAGCCTTTAGAAGGAAGGTTCGAGGAGTGGCTTGTGGAAACTTCTCTGGGGAGTCGGCCGAGGAGCTTGGTGATGTGTATTCTGCTGGAGCTACAATTGACTTGGTGAGACTATGTTTGGCGGAGGTCAATGCGAATCCTGGATGGATAGCGGTCACCGATGACATAAAAACCGCCTTTCTACGGGCTCCAATTCCAGAGCTTCCCAATGGACGAAGGTATGCAATGGAGGCGCCAAGGGCAATGATACGAGCAGGACTCGCCCAGCCGGGCGAGTTGTGGCTAGCAACAGCAGCAGTCTACGGCTTCCAGCGGAGCCCGAAATGGTGGAGTCAATATAGGAACGCTACAACCAAAACAGCGACTTGGAATTCTCCAAGGGGTGGAACTATGAAAGTCGTTCCTTGCATCACCGACGACAACCTCCACAAGCTCGTCGAGGTGCTACCGGACGGTGAGCATATCGTGGGGTACGTCCTCTTCTACGTCGATGACACCTTAGCAGTGGGACTTCCTGAGTATGTCCACGGCTTCTACGATTGGTTGGAAGCTACATGGGAGACCAGTGGAAGAGAGCAAGTATCCAAGGAAGGCGTAGTACGGTTTCTAGGTCTCGAGCTGTCATTAGACGAGGCTGGAAAGATGATGATTGGACAACGTGGCTACGTGGACGAGCTCTTGAGGAAGCGGGAAGTCACGACCTACAGCAAGGTGCCGTTTGTCAAGGAGTGGGCGACGGATGAGATCCCGAAGGACGCCGATTGCGCCCCGGAGCTTGTAAAGGAGGCCCAGCAACGGTGTGGTGAAATTCTCTGGGCTACCCAGCGGAGTAGGCCAGATGCGGCCTATGCGGCGATGATGATGTCGAAGCTGACAACAAGGTGGCCAGAGCGGGCGATAGTCATTGCCAAGAAGATCTTGACGTACTTCAATGCCACCCGGGAGGCCGGCTTTGTAATCGGACGTGATCTACCTCAAGGCTTGATGATGTTTAGCGACGCTTCCCACGCCCCGACGGGTGCCAAGTCAATCTCAGGAAGCCTGGTGATGTGGCGAGGGATGCCAATATGTTGGAGATCGGCCAATCAGGGCTTGACAGCCTTGAGTAGCGCTGAAGCCGAGCTCATAGCTTTGAGTGAGGGCACGCAGCTGGTCAGGGCAGTGCGAACGACCTTGGAGGACATGGGCATTTCTCCTGGGACCACGGAGCTACGAGTTGATGCGACAGCGGCTATAGCAGTGGCGAGTTCAGGTGGGAGTTGGAGAACACGACATCTTCGACTACGTGAACACTGGCTTGTGGAACTGGTGGACTCAAATCAGTACCGGTTAATCCATCAACCAGGACTACATCAACTAGCAGATGGCTTAACGAAGCAGCTGGCTGCTGAAAGGTCATGGATGCTTATGGGAGAGTGGGGCTTCACAAAGGGACCGTCAACCTCAATGAGGAGATTGGAGGTGGAGGAAGCAGCTTCTACCATGAGAGCGGGATCTCCATTGACTACAGCAGCAGCAGCCACAACCGCAGCAGCAATAGCCAACACAACAGCAACCGCGCATGGAGGGGCCCTTAGTAGGTGTATCCAGGTGGTTTTGGGGTTAGGTTTGGCAGCTGGAGCGAGTGGTCATGAAGCACTTCAACCTCATGGAGGCGTGGACTCGGACTATGAGCTATGGTTGGCTGTGATGTTGATTGCAGTGACAACAGTCGTGGTCTGGGAATGGAGCAAGAAAACAGNNAGGTGGTGTCAAGAAGGTAGTGAAGATGAAGATGTTCAAGCCGGCTGACAGACGCGGACTCTCTAAGTCAGAAGGAAAGGAACTTCTGGAACTGTTGAGCTGCGATGATAGAAGTCGCGAACAGGAGGCGAGACTGATGGTGTTGGTCGGAAAGTTCAAGGCTCATGATCAAGATGCTTTGCCGAGCACTACGACTTCGCAATCTTCAGCTTCTGGACCTGTGAATCGGGGAAGAGACGCTATATCAGCTGGGGATGCAGGCCTGAGAGGCTTGTCGAACGAGAAGTTTCAGCCTGAAAAGTGGAGCAGAGGAGTTCAGACGGATCCCGTAGAGGTCCCTCCCGAAGCAATGATTCGTCCTTCTGTCGTTGACGGTGGGATTCGATATGTTGTGCAACCTTGGGAAGGCGACTTATACATGAGCCCCAATGGAGATCGGGTTCATCTGAGGCCAGACTGCCATGGACTCCGGAATGCTTCGCGAACGTCCCGAAAGCCAATGTGCCACTACTGTTTACAAGACTGGAGAAATCACCCAGCTCGCAGAGAGGGCTGAATAAGGTGTCTTCAGGCGGAATGATGAGTGATGGCTTCCCTTACGGGAGCATCAAGGAGGGGTGCAAAATACTCCTGAAGCCCCTCTT